GTAGCTGTCTGTTGTTATTTAAAGAGCAGAAACTACTCCCGCCTCTCCATCTCCTGATGAGTCGTTAGCCTCTATTGATGGTGAGTCATCGTGTTGATTAGATGCAGGAAGGTGTGACCTAGACTGAAACTGAATGAGATAAAAAAAAAAGTTCTAATCTTTTAAACAACGCTGTTGGTCCTTTTGGTCCTTGTTCTGGTTTTCTAAAACTCTGTTAAAAACCTTGGTGTGTTTTTAGACAGTTTGTCATGGTTCTGCCTTCTCTCTGCTTCTGCTGCTATTTTCCCTTCATTGTTTGCAGGTGAGCGTGTTGGGGAGCAGCAGCGGCTGCAGCTAATTACCATCAGCCTGGCCAGAGGATTTAAGGAGCGGTGCTGCCACACCTCTACGCCGGTTGATACTCTACTGTTGGCCCTGGATTCCCTCCACCTGCCTGAGGTGTGATTTATAACAGCGTTGTTCAGCTTCCCTGGCCTCCTGCTCTCCACCGCTCACCTGCCTTCCTGGATCCAGCATCTCCTCCCTGCATCAACCTGACTTGCCTCTCCCTCCTGCCCCTTGTCCTGCTCAACTCAAGTCGGAGTTGCCTCGTTTCCTGTCCCGTTTGGATCAGCGCCCTCAGTTTTCGCTTTGTTTTCTTTATAAAATAAAGATATTTTTTATCATCTCTTACCTTATCCCTGAGTGATTCTTCATGTGGGTTAAGAAATTACCACCCATCATGACACAGTTCTTTTAATCTTTACAGACAAGTGAGTGCAGTGGTCCAATCAGGTTTTTATCATTCAAGGCAGATAGCAAAGGTGAAGCCATACCTTCCTGCTAATGTCCTCGAACATGTCATCCACCTGTTCGTGTCTTACCGATTGGACCACTGCAACTCCCTGTATTCTGGCCTGGACCAGTCCTCCCCACACCGACTTCAGCTGGTCCAAAATGCAGCGGCTCGCTTGCTGACTGGAACCAGCAAGTGGGATCACATAACCCCGGTTCTGGCCTCTCTCCATTGGCTTCCTGTCTCTTACAGGATCCGTTTCAAAATTTTACTTTTTGTTTTTAAATCCCTTCATGGCCTGGCCCCAGTTTACATCTCTGAGCTGCTGTCCGCTTACGTCCCTGCCAGAACCATGAGGTCCAGCTCTCAAGCTCTTCTAACAGTTCCAAAAACCCGCCAAAAGACTCGCGGCGACTGAGCGTTCTCTGTGGTTGGGCCCAAACTGTGGAACAAGCTACCTCTCAAATCAGGACCACACAGAATCTAGAGCATTTTAAATCCCTTCTTAAGACGTAATTTTTTATTTGGCTTTTAATGCAGGCTGACTTGAGCATCTTAATAGTTTTTAACAGTTTTTATCATAGATTGTGACTGTTGTGTGCTCAGCTAATTTTAGGTTTTTATTGTTGATTTGTTGTATTTTTATTTGTTTTACCTTGTACAGCGCTTTGGTGTAGCTTTGCTGCTGTAAATGCGCTCTGTAAGTAAAATTGACCTTGACCTTGACCAAAGCTGCATTATTGGTACTGGAAAGGTGAAATCTAAGCCCCGCCCCTATTTAAAGTGGGCTTTTCACGTTTTGACATAGATAGCTTCTTTTACTCCTCTCTCAAATTATCTATCTTCTCTGTCCAGAATGTGGACTTTGTCATCTTCAAAGGTGTGTCCCTTGTCCTTCAGGTGAAGGTGGACTGCAGAGTTTTGACCTGAAGAGGTGGCTCTCCTGTGTTGTGTTATGTTCTTGTGTAATTGTTGTTTAGTTTCTCACTACACTGGACTGCATAAACGACCCCACTGAGCTTCTGTTTGGGTGTTTTGTCTTCTGGGTGGACCAGGTTCTGTCTGAGGGTGTTGTTGGGTTTAAAGTTTACCGGGATGTTGTGTTTGGAGAAGATTCTTCTAAGTTTCTCTGAGACTCCTGCCACGTATGGGATGATGGTGCCTTTGTGTAAAGGGTGTTGTTGTTAGGTTGGTAGCAGAGCTCTCATGTTTAGTGTTAAGTTCAGTGAGATCATGGAATGGGATCAAGAATTTTCTACAGACAGGAAAAAGATCTCAGCTAACATAGCTGTAGATCACATTGGATAAGTCTCTGTGGTTGCATTTATTTTACATTTATTTTACTACCTCTTACTAGAGCTGTCTTTAGTAAGCACAAAATATCTTTGGTTGTACACCTGTGCAATAGCAATAAAGTATCTTGATTTCTGTTAAATGTACTTCCTGAATGAGTGACCTTTTCAGGCTAAAATAACAAAATGACAAATACAGACAGAAGGACGACTTCTTTCTTCTTTTATAATGCGTTGCATCACCACCTGGTATCAGAACAGGACTCAGTATTGGAAGATAATCAAAAATCAAACAACTTGGACTCAGATCAGGGGCAGAAATGTGGTTGTAACATCTCTAGGTATGAATCAGCTTTAAAAACTAAAACTATTATTTATGAACTAACATTAACACTAATGACACTAATTTATATTTTTTTATTATGTTGTTTGAACCCAAGGGTCTCATTATCTGAATTTTCTAACTTATTGGATTGCTCTATACATGCCCCTTTTTTTAATTGAGCACCCGCCCCGTCAAAGGTCTCTGCACGGCCCTGCTTCATACATTCTCCTGCAATGCCCTGGTCCTGTAGAACGAGCCCTGGCATTTTTACTGTGATTGCCTGTTTTTCTGTAAAATCACAGAAAAAGAGAGTTGCTCGGGTCGAGCAGGCTGCTTCATGCGCGTTCACGCTCAGGCATAGCCCGTAGCATTTGCTATCAGTAGCTTTAGCAGCAGAGAGAGAGGCAGTGCCAACTCAGCGACTTTGTCGCTGTTCCTAATGCCTAGTGGTTTATGCTTGACGCATTCACTTTCCGCTTGGTGATGCAGCTCGCGGATGGAACGTGCTTCACAACTTGCAGCATTTATGGTTTGTGCGGCTCGTCTCTGCGGTGAGCCAATATTCTCCCAAACTGTAGGGGGCAGCATGGAGCTCTACACGGCATGCATCCAACATTACACCATAATAGAAGTAAAAATTACTGTTTACAACATGGCATTCCATCATTTTTAACAGCATCCTCGTCTTTTCTGACAGTGCGAGCTATTTCTCTCCAAGAATTATTAACATGTTGATCACAAGGATCTTTGAGAGCTGAATCATGCAAATGTCTGTATTTACGAACCTCTGCCATACTAGTTCTTGCCGGTCCACCATGTTTTCCACGTCCGACCGTCCGCGTGGTTAGAAATTTTCCTAGGTGCGCGTTGCGGAAATTTTGGGCCATGCGGAGGCGCGGTGGAGGGGTGTGGTTGTTAAAATGATGCAATTTCGCCTCGCGGACCCGTGCGGACCTCGCGGACGCGTCAAGCATAAACCAACCTTTAGCTACTTTCTGTAGAACTTTCTTCTAGATATTTCCTGCAAATTAGCAACAAAATAGCCATTTTCGCTTCGAACCGTTCTTTGGATTGACGTTGTTTCTGGTGTCATCAAGGATATAAAAGTTACAGATACTGTGAATGTTACTAGAGTGTAGCTCACCTTGTAAGACATCTGACTCCCATGCAGAAGACCTGGGTTTGATTCTGGGTGTGAACATAGTTCATTTAGAGTTTCTTTTTTACATTAATGGTATATTTTTTTACAGTAAGATGCCCAAATTTTTATTTGAGACTCGCCGAACGGCATTGAATTCACAGATAAAAAAGATGTGGGTTCAACTTTCATTTTGGAACAATTTTTCAAGCAAGGGAAGGGAATGATCTGAGCATGCAGGAGGACTGACCCATCATAAACCTTTGTCGGGTGTGCTGAAGAGAAAGGTACAGAACCAAATTATTAAATTAATTAGCTGCGCATTCTCCTGTCCTCTGTCCTTCAGGCCACACACACACACACACACACACACACACACACACACACACACACACACACACACACACACACACACACACACACACATACACACACAGGACTGTCTCAGCTGTTATTTTCGTTAAGGAGTGTGCACGTACAGCATGCGCGCCTTGTGCACGAGCCTACTATTGAAGCTGCCATTACGCTTTTGGCCTGAGGGGGCAATCGTGAGCATAACAATTCAAAAGTCCGTAACATACCTTTAAAACAAAATCTTGAATGGAAATGGTGCGATTGGACGGTGAGACTGAATACAATTCCTACCCTTTCTAAAACATCACAATGAATTCTATTACCATTGTTAACGCTTCTCTCGTGTGTGTGCGCGTGTGTGTGTGTGTGTGTGTGTGCGTGTGTGTGTGTGTGTGTATGTGTGTGTGTGTGTGTGTGTGTGTGTGTGTGTGTGTGTGTGTATGTGTGTGTGTGTGGGTGTGTGGGTGTGTGTGTGAACTGACACTGCGTGCTGAAACTGATTAATACCTTTTAAAGAGCTGACCATGGTTGGAGGGAGGGATGAGAGGTGTTACGTATGAAAGGGAGACATGTGGCAGAAGTGACAACTTCTGTGGGAACTGTGGGGTGAGGTATCCTAACACAAAAGAGTTATCAATCCTAACTTGACGTAAAGTGGTGCAGATTGAATACATCAAAGCAGATCATCAATATACATCTTGACATAAGGGGACTACAATAACTTCATCAATTCATTTCTTGACATACAGGGTCATTGAAGGTCATTTCACAAAAGGTCATAAAACAATACACCTGTCAAATTTGACGTAAGGTGGTTTGGGGGAAAGGTCATAAAGGTCAAAGAACAATAGACCTGTCAAAAAGTTTGACAAAAGGTGGTTCTTTATATCTCTAATGTCCAAATACTTTGCTTTAAAAGAAAGTTCACTGAAAATGTACTTGGTCAAAGGTACCTGCCTATCTATGGAACCACAGTAATCCAGCCCACAAGTTATCTCCTGGTATCTAATCAGCTTTGAAGGCCATTGACTCCCTGAGAGACAGCTGTGTGTAGCTGCTATGAAAATGCTGTTTTTCCCACCTCCTAACAGATACCCGAGTATGTTTCCTACTTACCTTCGAAAGCAAACTTATAGAGCTCTGCTGTCAGGTCGTTGACCATGACGCCCTGTCCACTGGTGTCCCTCAGCCAGGCCACTCTGCTAATGAAGTCCGTCACCACGTCATTGATGGTGTTCGAGTAGGAAGAGACGTGCTTGGGCTTGAGCATTCGAGGGTTCAATATGCTGCGGATACGCTGCCACTTCTCTCCCATCCTGCAAATCAGGAAACAAACTTGGACATCTGATCTTTAGGTTTCCTTCCAGCCATGTATATGACTGGATCAGAGATGGTGGCATAAGTTTAAAAAAAACAAAAAAACATGATGTACATCAAAAGACGGGGTTTCCTTTAAAGAGCAAGTCACCCCCTACCAGATTCTTACTCAACTCCCACTTCCTGTTTGAAAAATGCAACACACACCATTGCCTAGCAGACCGAGAGGGCGGAGCTGTTAACAAATACACACACAGAGGCTCACAACGACACTGTGACATCATATGGTACCAGCTAACGTTCTAGGGTACCTCTTAGCCAATAGCGATGGCAGATTTAAATTCAAACGCAGTGCAGAGTTTTTACCTGGCAACGACACAACACTGACAGTTTTAGACAGAAATTTTAAATTTAAACTAAAATGCACTAAAGTGCTAAACTATTGACTACACGTGTCTGCGGCACGATTAGACACGCATTTATATAGTTTATCAAAAAGAAAAAGTTGATTTGGGGGTGAGTTGCAAATTTCTACAGCACGCCATTTCCATGTCCAAGTCCACGTCCAAGTTCACGCTGATTGTTGTGGACTTCAGGAGAGCACACACTCAGCATGCTCCTCTGACCATCAACTGTGTGTCTGTGGAGAGAGTGAGCAGCACCAAGTTCCTGGGTGTGCACAATACAGAGGATCTCTCCTGGACGAACAACACCATAGCATTGGCGAGGAAATCACAGCAGCGTCTCTTCTTCCTCCGCAAACTAAGAAGAGCAAGAGCACCAGCCCCCATCCTGTACACTTTCTACAGAGGCACCATCGAGAGCATCCTGTCGTGCGGCATCACTGTGTGGTTCGGAGCCTGCAACGTTTCCTGCATTAAAACCCTCCAACATATAGTGAGAGCAGCAGAGAAGGTCATTGGGGTCTCTCTCCCCTCCCTACCAGACATTTACAGCAACCGCCTCAAAAAGGCCCTTCGCATTGCGGCTGATCCCACTCACCCAATGCAAAGCCTCTTCGAGCTGCTGCCGTCAGGGAGGAGACTGCGGAGTCTCAAGGCCAGGACAGACTGAAGGACAGCTTTATCCATCAGGCAGTTAGGAAGCTAAACTCCCCCCGGCTCTCCCACCTCTCCTCTCTTTTCCCCCACAGTCTCTCTGAACTTGGTTACTGTTTTTATACTAAATGTTTATTTTCTATCTAGAGAGAGTTTGAGAGCAACATAATTTCATTTCTCTGTATGTCCTGTACATGTGGCAGAAGTGACAATTAAACTGACTTTGACTTTGACTTCACTTATGGGACACTTTTTCACCATTTACTGTCTGCAAAACTCACAGAGTAGCTTAAAAAACCCTCTAAGCCTTCCTTAGCCATCGCATATATATTTATGAGCTTACAGTAAGCTGTGAGTATTAGAAAACAAATTCCTTGTGGCCACAGGACATGAGGATCTGTCAGGGAGGTGATCAGGTTTCTTTTAATGGGGTTTGTTGACAGTTAGACAGCAAGGCCTTTTCTCCTAAAGCATCACACCTAGAGGAGCTGTTTCCTGAGGGAGGGATAGGAGGGGGGAGCGTTAGAGGGGGAAGAAGAAAACATGCAGCAGTGCTATATTCTTTTTTTTTTCTATGAATCATTATGAAGTTGTGTTAATAAGACACTCATAGATGAATATCCTGGAGGATCCCAATCTGCTGCCAGGCCAGCGAGGATAGATAATCCTCTAGTTTCTCAACCCTGGTCCTCAGCACTCCCCTGTCCTACATGTTTTCCATGTTGCCCGTTCAAACACCAGTGTTTCTCTGCTGCCACACACCTGACGTAAATGAATGACTGATTAACGTGCTTCTGCAGCACTTGATGTCTTCCTGAGGAAGCTATTCAAATAATATATAAACCAGGTGTGCTTGAAGCAGAGACATTGAAAACATGGAGGAAATTCTTTAGATGAGGAGGAGCCGTGACTCTAAAGAGTTTTAAAAACCAGACATGACTGTCCCTCACACTGCACCGTGTTTATGAATCACGCTTGCATCGACTGCATGAATGAAGACACAAAACTGGGTTTTTATTCCACACAAACTCACTCTGTTAGAGGTCCGTGGGCCTGGTTCCTCAGCTCTCTGTAGCCCCTCCAGTGGGGCATGTCAGTCCGGACTGGATGCTTTCCCTCCTGCCTCAGAACCTGCTCTATGAGCTCTGCGCTGGCCACGTTCACCACGACCAAGGGGCCGTACGTGGACTTCCATAAGGGGCCGTAGATCTTCTTGTGCTCGATCTATGAGTGATTCAAATTAAACATCACTGGACTACAAAAAGTAAAACTCAGTCTTTCAGAAAATAAAACGCATCACATCTAAACGCAAGAAGGGTATGGCAATAAATACATAAATATACCCCTCATTACTATATTTTATTAATAATAATAATCACTATTTTTATATTGGTCCTTTTTTAACATCTTGGATCACTTTGGAGGTAAGATTGGGGTCACTGTAGATCATTTCTCAGCATAACCCAGAAATAAAGAATAATGAATGCATATTTAAACAGACACTCCACTTTAACTTTACTCTAAATATTTAGGTGCGAAATACTTGGAATTGTGTAAACATTGTAATTTCCTAAAATAAAATGTAAAGAAAAGGTAACAAAGGCTTCGCATCTAATTCACATTCTCTACATATATATCTCCAGATACCCACGTCTGTCTCTGATGTTCCTGAGACGTTTGGACGAGTTTGGTGGATAATCAGAGCCAGGATCTCTTCCAGAGCTGAGGGTTATTAAGGGCTGCAGGGGTCACTAAACTTCAGATCTCCGGTCTCGGTTCCGTTCGGTCCAGCTTACCTGCATCTGCTGCGTGGTTTGAAAATAGCCTTTGATGAAGAGCCAGTAGAGTGTTGTGGCGAAGCTGGGTCCACCTAGCTCATCCATGGTTTTGGGTTTACTGATGCCCACCACCGAGCTGCCGGAGGTCGCGTGGCGCGTCAGACTCGGGCCGGGACTCAGCCCCGCCGCCGCCGCTCCCTGGATCCCGGCCTTGTGTTGCTGCTGCCGGTTCAGCCGCAGCCCGACGTTAACCAGAGACCTCCTCAGCATTTTGACCGTGAAACGAGCGCCTTTCGCGGTGCAACAAGTGCGCAGCAGCGTGGGTCCGCCTGCCTGCGGTGGGAGGGCTGGAAATAAATAATGGCTCCTTGTTTGCAGTTCGGAGCCTCTCCGGACTTTACATTGGCAGAGGCGGTTTTACCATTAGGCATAGGTCGGCGGCTGGCTGGGGCCCCCTGTGTTGGGGGGGCCCCTAGTCCTGATGCCGGCACCCCTCTGTTAATGCCACAATATTTTTATTACCAACCTGTGGCCGCAGACGGGATTGGACATGCTTCTCGTTACCATAATTCCTGAACCATTCAAGATATCATTAAAATTCCAAAAGTGCTGAAAAGATTAAAAATGGGGCTTTTCGTGCATATACAATACATTATGGTAGCCACCGGGATTCCCTGTCTTAAGCGCAACGAATCACAACACAGATTCAGACATGTGCTGAGTTTGTCATCCAAAATGCTCCGTTTTATAACCTTTGAATGGCTGATCAGATTCGCAGAATTCCAACGGTTCCTAAAATTACATAAAAGCAGCTTTCCAACGATCTATAGCATGAAGCAATCAGAGTTAGGGAAAATATCGCTACGAGGGGAAATCCTGCTGTACAGCCTGATTGAAACGGAGGGCGGCGCCGCGGTGAAAGCGGATAACGGAACGAGGAAGCTAATTAGCATAAAAAGCCAGCATGAAATTATGGAAATGCTTCAAAGAAAATCAACGCGATCTATTAGGTGTTCCAGAAGGCTTGTATCTGAAGACAGTGTCCACAAAGAAGGACAGATCCCCAGTGAACCAGGGTATGAACGTTTGGTCATTCTTTATATTTTATTTTTGTATTTGAAAAACCCTCAACTATTTGCTAATTGTAACATTCAGCTTCATTCCAGCATTATTTATCTTTTTACAATAAATAATTGTTTTTGCTAAAACAAGTTTTTGGTATAGCAGTGCACGGTGTGCCAGAGAAGCACCCCATGGCAGTGTGAGGTGCGCAGAGTGGGACTCTGCCTGCAGCTGGAGAGAAACTGCTTCAAGGTCTACCACATCAAATAAAAACGTCTTAAAGTTTACAAAAATAAGTGGTCTTAAAAATTGCTAAAAAAAAAGATACAAAGGTTCAAATTTTTTTTTTTAAGAATAGATGCATTACAGTTCAAAGTTTTAATTGTTTGCCCAGTAATTTTGAAGTTTCTGTTCAGTAATAAATGTAAAGAATTCAAATCCGTTTTTTGCTTTTTTCACTTTTAAGCTGATTTTTTAAAGGCTTTAATAGAAATAAATTCTAAATACAAACCATACACTAAAAGCCGAGGTTGTTCTGAAAAAAGGTTACACACACTTTGCGCTTTTATTACAATTTTACAGCCATAAGATTAAAAAAATACCAGGCGGCCCTGTTATAATTATGGTCATAAGAGGGTTATTAAGACGGCGATGCACAAACTGGAAGTGATTGGTAGTCATTCCACTCCAATCCTGTTGGTGGCGGTAATGCACTAAATTGTTGTTTGCCAAGTGCCATAAGACCACAAACAAGAAGAAGAAGAGAGGCGGGAGCGTTCGTAACAAACTCAAAGCGATAAGTCAAAACATTAAGCATGAAATTGAGTTATCCTAGTGGCTCCAATAAGAGAAAGAAGCTGCTTGCTTCATAAAAGCTTTTATTTTCACTTCTGAAAGTGACGTCGTTTTTCGATGTAAACATCAAAAGGAAGCAGAAAGCAAAGACAATGGCAAATGTTTCAAGGGAGGAAAACATAGACCAAAATGGAAAATAGAAAAAAAATAACTAAGGCTAAAGCACAGGAGCACTGACAGGAAGAAGAAAGCAGAGCAAATATTGAAGGCACTCAAAGGGAGAGAAAAACTGGAAAAAAAGAGGAGGACTAATAAAAAGGGAAAATAACTCGTGTCAGAAGAGGGGAGAGTTTCGCAAATCCAGTTAAAGGTAAGACTGTAGAAAATTTAGTGTAAGGGGCCCCATGTCAGTGTTCGCCTTGGGCCCCCAAATTGCTAAATCCGCCCCTGGATATTGGGACAGTTAGACCAATAAACCCGCTTTAAAGAGCAAGTCACCCCCTACCAGAGTCTAACTCCACTCCCACTTCATGTTTGAAAAATGCAACAAATGCCGTTGCCTAGCAGACAGAGGGCGGAGCCGCTAACAAATACACACACACACAGGTTCACGACAGCATTGCGACATCATAATGTACCAGTTTACATCATAGCATACCTCTTAGCCAATAGCAGTGGCAGTTTTAAATTCAAATACAGTGCAGAGTTTTGACCTGACAACGGCCCAACACTGACAGTTTTAAGCAGAATATTTAAATTTTAACTAAGATGCACTGAAGTGCCAAATTATTGACTACACGTGTCTGCAGCACGACTAGACATTCATTTATTTAGTTTATCAGCAAAAAAAAGTTGATTTGGGGGTGACTTGCTCTTTAAACGTCTTCATGCAGCTGATAACTAAACAGAGAAATGTGCTGCTATGGTTATTCAAAGCCACGCGTTTGGAAGATAAACTGAAAACCAAAACAAAAGAATGCTCCATAGAAAAAAAGTTGTAATATCAGGATCCCTTTATATGTTCCGTGACGTCATATCTATGACACGCGGTTCAGTTGAGGATCGTGGTGGGTTTTTATGAAACTTCTGAAGAGTGTTTTGATTTCATTTGCTTTTGATGTTTTTATGTTCATATTGATTTGTGTGTCTGCATCTACCACAGTTCCCGAGCGCTGCCACTGCTGCAGCTCATTGCTCCCTACAGGTCAGGGAGGGCTCAAATGCACAGATGTAATTTCACCAGTGAGTGATGATGACTAATGGGACTTAAACTTTATTATCTTAATGATGGTGTGGAAGAATGAAGGCAATTGTCTTTGGGAAACACGAATAAAGAAACTAACTAGCATCTCAACCTTTTTTCAGGAACAGTTCGCTGCAGCAGAAAGTTAAGCTTTTTAACCAGCCATGACGTCATCCGCATGTTTTTGTTTCATATGTCCTGAAAGGTTTGTGATTCCAGCCTCCAACCAAACCCTGTTAAGCCATCGACCTGTCTGGTATCTAGAGCTGACTTTATTCAAACTTGAATGTGGTTGAAAATAAAATGTTTTGACCTGCAGACACCTGTTCAGCAGCATACTGCAAAGGGCTCGTTACATCATAATGAAGTAAGGAGCATTACAGCTGACATTTACCTGGTGACAGCACACCCTACACAACAATTCAAAACATTGGTCTCAACATCTGCTCCTCCCTAACGGTGCCTGTGCAGTCTGCCCACTTTTAAATATGATAGGGGGAGCGCCACCTATGTTTGTGTGAATATCTGCTGTGGCTGATTCCCAAAGAGCCGAGCCGTTTCGAATACACCACCTTCTCCTAGGAGTTGGCAGAAAAAGAAACCATATTACACGTCTGCTGAACTGACTCACAAAGACTAAAATATCATGCATTCTAGTGAGTCTGATTGTTGCCAGAATCCGTCCCTCAGGCCAGGTGGACAGGAACAGTGTGTGCGAGGTCATGTTTATTTTTTTATAGTTACAAAGGATTATTCCTACAGAGAAAAAGGGACTGATTAAGACGCCAAAATATTAGTCCTTGATTGATGCAACGTTGATTTGAATTTTGGAAGTGACTTTGTTCTTTATCCAGTAAGACCTGCAGCTCACCCATCGATATACATTATATATATATATATATATTATATATATATATATATATAGATATATATATAGATATATATATAAAGAGAGAGCTCACCCAGTCTGCCTTCAGTTTGTCCAGCATGATCAGATGATGAGGGCTAATTACTCCAGGCTGCAGCATGTTTATGTCAGCGTCGAGTGCTTGGCGATGCAAATAGTGAGATAAATGAGCAACTTGTATTTGTGCTACACAACATGAGTTGCATCAGAACATTTATGACACAAACGGGTAGGTTCAAGAAACAATTAAAATCTTTAATATTTGACAAAAATCTTCTCAAATATTTAACAAATAAGTGTTCATTTTCTTAAGACCAACAGGTGTTTTAATTAAGGCTTTTTGGACCCCCGTCTCTGGGTTTATACAGTCGGTGTCAGAGCACTGCTGGGACAGAAACCGCAGCTTCCCGTTTGATGAGACAGGTCAGAGGACAAAAGACACTTATGGAAAAGACACCAAGAGAGGAAGGCCTGCAGTTGACTTCCTGAGACAAACTAAAGAGGCATTTCCAGTTCTTTAAGACTCACTCTGATGCAGTAAGAACACATCTGGCTTCCAGTTGCTTCCATATGGAGCTAAACACAGAACCAGTTAGTTACTGGCCAAATGTGTGTAGAAGGATACATAATTAAGTTCAAGTATAACAGGTTTAAAGCTACAAAGCAAGACCCTATTAGAGTCCATGAGTGCAGGTTCGCAGAATAAAAGCTGTCTCTCCCGCTACAGTCGACTGCTTTTATTAATCATTTCACCATCTTGCTTTGGCTTTCTGATGAACATTTAGTACTGTAGCAAACACCATATTTGATTTTTAAGACGATGTTCTCTGATATGTGGCAAGTAGACTTAAGTTCAAAATATTTTACCGACTCTCACAAAAAAAAAATGAAGTATTGTTTGGAAATGGTAAAGACCAAGAGATAAATTAATAAATATGCATTCTTCACAAGTCAAGTTTGATGGTTTAAAGGGATATTTTGTGAAATTATATATATTTTTTTAATTTCTGCTGCTTAGTGCTACAAAATAAAACAAAAAAGGCTAGCAGAAACTTCAAAATGAAAGCTCAATAATGTAAACGTGAAAAGCAGAAGCATAAGAGTCTAGACTCTAATGACAGCTGTCCTGCCTCTGGTGGGTTTAAAGCACCGCCATTAGAGGAGATGCATTTCTAACTCCAGAGGCAGGAATCACTACAGCATGAGCAGAGCCAGAAAACTACAGAGATTTGTTGGTGGAAAGACAAAACTCAGATGAGTGGATGAGTAAGACCAATCCTGGTGAACAGGTTTGTGACAAGCTCCTTCATCCAGTCTTCCTCACATTGGCCTTCATCCTGATTCTTCAGTCACTTTCACTTCCTGATTCACTCAGCTGGAGGTCATTCTCTGCAAGGAGATATTTGAAGAAGTGTTAAGACTGCACACTGTCATGGTGGTAGCTATAAATCCCTTGACACGTGACATCAAGAGTACGAGCCTCCCAGCCTCAGACTGGAGGGTCAGAAGAAGGTTCAACAGTGTTATCTGTCAGTTGTCAATAATTGGTTAACTAAAATCTGTCAGCTTGGTTAACACATGCAGCGCCGCGGGCTGCACAAACAGACGAAAGGACAGTAATGTCAAAGTTACAGGTTTCCAGCTGATAAAATATACAGAAGGCGTTGGTTAACTGCCATGAAGAGAGTATCCGAGTTGTCCACATTGTGGCAGAAAAGGTTTCATGACAGAATAAAAAAGTTAAGAATCTTCCCCACAAAGTCTGAAGACGAAGAAACAATCTGGGCCAGACACAGCTGTCAATAAATCACAGAGTACCAAACCAACCATAACCCTAACACACCGTAGTCCGTTATTAAAGTGTGTGTAATAAACCTCTGAGTTTAAGCACATTTAATTGTATAGATGTTAACAACTATGTTCATTTACAATCAAAACCACATATAAAATATAGAATTTATATATTACAATATACTCATGAGTCCTATTTTATCTTCCAACAGGAGAGCCCTAACCCCAACAAGGACATTTCCTGTTTGTGGTGAACAAATGACTTCAAAATAAAAGAAAAACAAAAATAACTATTTTTCTATTTTGACAGAAAATCCTGAAGAGTTGACTGATAATTAAATTAGTCAAGAGATGAAGGGTCATAACAGCTGTTGCGACAGCCCTAATGGCAGTTTAACCTCCAGCTATAATAACAGCAGCAGGGTTTTGTTGTGGTTCAGCCTCAGACTCTGAAATTCCAGCAGGTGTTGGGAAATTTCCCTGACGTGTGCAACCTTTCTGAAATCTTCACCTCCTGACAACAGTAAAACATCTACAGTTCTTTCTATAAGACACTCAACTGTAAAATGTATTTAGCATACATTAAAGTTTGAAAAAAGGCCGTGATTAAAACACAGGAGATACGGCAGATCATTGTAATCCCTTCACTTAGTAAATCCATGTGTGTCTGCAAGAATAATGCACAACCACAACAACTTAGTGTTTAAAAAAAGAACTGGTTCAGTCACATATGTGGGCAAAAGCTGCAGGGTCACCGAGGTTACTCACTGAGTGTGTTCATGAGTCCTCCCCCGCTCTCTTGGAGGCGACTGGTGGAGCTGGTGTTGATGATAGGCATGCTCTGATTGGCCGAGGGCGCTGCAGGAGTCTGCTCCTCTTCTGAATCGCTGCTGCTTGAACTGTCGTCACTGCTGGAGGACGAGCTGTTGGACTCTGATGAGCTGTCGCCACTGCTGAGCTGATCCATGACCTGCGCCTCTGCCATCAACTCTGCTCCAGACACACAGAAATAAGCATATTGATGGAGCACAACCACAACCAAGACGTACAGCCTTAATGAACACAAACAAAGCTGTGTCACCTCTCTCTATGTCATCCATCGGTGAAGGTGAAGAGGCTTTCTCTTTGGGGGGAGAGCTCTTGGAGCTGGATGAGGTTTTGCTCGTGCCGCTGCTGTTGCTCTTCATTTGCTGACTCAGGCGACTGGTTTGCTGCTCTAGACGAGAGTGGATTTTACTGCTGCCCTCAGCCCTGGAATGTCACATAAAAGAGGGGAAATATATATAAAGAACATTTCTAATTAAAAATTCTACTCATTACTTTGGGTTAAATACACTTAAAACAATTAAGTGTTTTGCCAATTCTGTGCAAATCTTTCTTGGTTAAGAATTTAGAAGGGATCAAATCTAATTTCAACAGCTAAAAGAAAAGCTTTTCTAAAAAAAAAAAATCAACACATTGGTTTGCATTAAATCACTAATCATAATAGTGAATGCTTTAAAAAATAAGGAAGCCTTTTTATCTCACCTGGTCTTCTTCACGGCTATGTTGCTATTGAGTTTTTCTAGTCTGTACTCTCCTGTATCGTGGTTCACAATGAGGATGCATTCTTTCATGTAAGGCCTCTTAGATCCACTGAAGACTGTAACAGGAGCACTTGAACCCTTAAAAAGGAAAACCAAAATATTAAATTATACGTGTCTGTTTTTATTAAAAATATTAAAGTTTAACTCTTGGAAGGAAAAGGTGCTAAAGATAGTTGTAATTTATTGTAAGTAGGGCTGGGCAATAAATCGAAAAGTTATCGTTATCAAAATTTCTGACTGTTAACGAGAATTTTTCCCATGTCAATAAATTTGCTAATTTAAAAAAATGAAAAAATGTGTGTGGGTTGGCGACGTTCATGTCCCTTTAAGCTGCACCACCTTGAGTCATGTAAAAATATGACTCAATACATGTGACAGCCCCATCTAGTGGACAACTTTTGTTTCTGTGCATACATGTAGTTATCGTCCATTTATCGTTATCGAGGTGAAATCCTTAATATATCGTGATTTTGATTTTAAGCCATATCGCCCAGCCCTTAATTGAGAGTGTAATAAAAACAATTTGAAATAAATAAAAATGTATTTTGAAGGAAAACGGTAAAATATATTAATCATTGTAATTGTTCTGTCTTGAATAAAGAGACAGAAATTCTAAGGTTTTTGTTTTATTTTACTAACCTCTAAATTTGGTAAAGTAATTTTGACTTGGTCTCCTTTGCCAACTTCAAGTTCTCCTTCACATGCTGTATCAATCGATGCTGGTTTGAAGTCATCTGTCACAGATAAAGGTAGAAAAAGGTCTCGAGTGAAACATGAAACACAGCGCTTTGTGATTTATATCTGTGAAAGGCGCTATATAAATAAACTTTTACTTACTTACTTACATTTTACTAGACAATACATGTTTTGGCGATACAGTTCATTCTTCCAGCCACAAGGTGGTGCTAAATTCCTACCTAACGCTGCTGCGCTAACACGTTAGCTGGCACTTTCACGGTTAATGGCAACAATGGCTTTTATTATTCACGTAAACTGACAGTTCCACAATAAAAGCCGACAATTTAGCAGAACACTGAAGGAGCACACTGAGAAATATAATCGAGCGCGGCGATAGAACTGTATGCCGGATGGCAAACGGTAATCTCAGCATGTTTAGCTTTAATGCTAACTAGCATGCGTCTGTTAGCTACAGTGAAAAGCCAGACGTCACCGACGAATAAAAAAACACTTACATCGCACTGTGTGGTAAGAGCTTTTGGGGTGTTTCTCGAACGTCTCTCCCAATTTCAGGACATGTTCCTGGTTGTCAAAGTTGGAGAAAGTTGTCCCATTCATTCTGACTAACACGAACCGTATACAAAAGTTTCCTCCGTGTTTTTGATGCCAAACGCAGGTAATGCTGGCAGAAGAAACGTTTAAGTCCCGCCCATTAGTAAAGTCTCCTAATTATTATTGGGTGACAAGATTTTTGCGCTTTTCTGGTTGGATGAAGACCTGTCAGTTAAGCACTTGTATTGATTGGGCAGCTACAGTGAAAAGGTGACAATTTTTAAAATGTGGACAATAACTTATGTAAATACCCACAGCTATTAAAACTTTTAATTCATAATTTCCTGAAAAAAAATTTCTGTTTTATTTATCATTTGAGGTAAATAAGAGACAACACATAGTTTTTGGTTTGTTTATTTTTGTTTATTTTGGAATGACGCTCATGTTTTATGTGTTTCCCAAAGTTAGGGCCATGACCTCACCTGAAGTAAAAAATAATAATCATTAAAAAAAAAACAAGTTTAAGGTTTGGAGATGTGCTCCAAAATGAATTATATAAAAAATGAATACACTATGTAATTTGACACAACAATAGCAATTTCAAGTGAAGCTTTTTTTGGTCCTTATTTCAGGTGTTTAGCTAGTTTTTTATCTATAGTTGTGTTGTTAGACAAGTTTTATCAGGGTTGCAAGTCTTTGCTCTTGTAATATTATGAGTGAGAAATAGCAAAAGTGGAAAAAGTGAACATTATATTGCAGAACAAGCACAATATTGTTCACTGAGGATATTGTGGATGAAAAAACATAAATGTAATTAAACAAAAAGCTGTATTTTAATAAACTGGTACAAAGTTCAGTGTTACATGAAATAAAATAAACATCAACTCACCTGAAAAGTTATTATAATCCAAAATCTGAATTAAAAAGCCATTAGAAGAAGAATTGACATGTATCAAATAATCATCACATCCTCCATTATGACCACGTCCTGCATGACTGAGACTACACTCCAGCTACTATTAGGCACCAAAGTTCTGACATTAATATTATTGATCAACAATGCAGGAAATAAAAAAATGCCATCTGCATCTGAAGAAGAGATTTGAACTTTCCCCTCAAAAAACTATGGGGAACTATTCCTTGTAAATTATAAAAATAAAGACCTTTGTTCTTTGGGCAAATGCCCTCAGTGCTGAGATCATATGATTTTGGGTTATAGCTGTTAGCTTTGAGGGGCCATCTTGAATGGGGTTGACTCTCATAATAATTGCTGATCCTGTTCTGTTGTAATATTAGTGTCCTTAACAAACATCGGCTCCTCTATCTGAACCAAATTACCAGCCTCACTGGGCAGAGCGCCTCAGACACAGCATGTGGACATCCTGCAGCTCTGATTGTAATGAGCTGCAGCAGAAACACTTACTGATCGCAGATTTGAGCCTCTCTGGCTCTGAGAAGCTCTGAGCTCCATGAACCTTGTGGCTGTTAAAATAATCTCTTTTCCTTTCTTTAAACTGCTAATGAATCCTAAGCCTTAAATCCTTCACTCTGCCTGAAATTTACTGAGACCATATGTTCTCTTGCCTTAGTTAGCAGGTCAGCATCTAACAAGTGGAGAGTCAGGCTTTAACACAAGTGTGTGATCACCAGCTGATCACAACAGTTGTCTCGTGTCATGGTCCACATGAGGAAATAGTGCATATGTCCACGTCCATGTCGACTCACTAATTGTCAGCTCTGCCTAAAGATGCAGAATGCAGCCCTCATATAATGGAAAACAGGATTGTTTGGGCAATCGTCATGGCTCATATTTATTGTTATCCGGTTACCGAGGAGGGACAGTCTTTTGTGATGGGAACCCTTTAAATTTGACGAGCTTTGAAAATGGACCAAGACAAATTATAAAAAGACCGGATTCCTGTTTCATCCTGAATCCCGTGTGAAAAGACAACAGCATGGGTCTGTTTCCATGGATGGAGGTAAACACTGACTGTCCTTTGGTGATATCAGTTACTTTAGGGGTTGCCCCTGGACTGCAGGAGGTGAGGTTTACGGTTTTTGAGCAACTAAATCCTCCAGTCACAGCAGAGGATTCCTATTGAATCTGAGGATAGCACCTGTCTGCTGGGAGAGGCGGAGCCTGAGCAGGCTCTACCAACCTGGATGAAATCAGTAATAATGGAAGCCATTTTCACAATTACTCTCTGGAATAGTCTCATTTTTGTTTATTTAACTTGGATAATTTAAATTCCCATCAAACCATCTGATGCAAATTTATTACATACTATTTGTCAGTGCGTTCCAGTTACTACAACATGTACCACGAATATCAACATGCACCAGCCAGATGTGTCCAGGGACAACAAACCCACCTGCCAGCACATTATTTTGTATTTAGACCTGCAGATACCTTATCTTGTTTGTTGAGTCCTTAACCAGAGTATGTTGGGAAGCAAAAATTTAATGTTTCTATGATATACAAAACCTAGATTCGCTTGTTCCCCTTATTTCCAAGTATTTAGTCCAGGGGTGTCAAATACACGGCCCGCGGGCCGGATCCGGCCCGCGAGATGGTTGTGTAAACTTTATTTTCATACTTTACAATGTAGAGTGAAAATAAACTTATCTTTGTGAGCAAGTTTTCTCTGTAATGAGTATAAATAAAACAAAGCTGCGCTCAAGGCTCACACAAGAACTTGAATCACATCCTGAAGTCGGCTGCCACTCAGGATGTGACTTCTGATGTTGATGTGCTGGTGAAAGCTAAAAGATGTAAAGTAAAATGAGTCAAATATATTTTAAGTGCTGCATGAAACTGATCTAGCCATGTGATCTGTAAGCTCTTTGAATCACTAAGGAATGTTTTTTTAATTGATTGATTTTTATTTTTATTTTTTCAAATTTTCAAGTACACTTCAGGTGTCGTACTATTTTGGATACCCTGTCCTCAGGCTCCAGCTTTGTTTTATATTGATTGTATTAAAACAAAGAAAACAATCTGAAGTTTTTTTTAATTTACCGGTCCGGCCAACTTTGGTCTAGATTTCCCTCAATGTGGCCCCTGAGCTAAAATGAGTTTGACACCCCTGATTTAGTCACAATATTCTAAGTAAGTGTTTAAAAGTTGCTCCAAAATGTCACGCCACTCCTTTAGCCCCATAATGCGCCAGATACTTTGAAAGTGCAGTCACGAAAACTCAGCTTCATTAAAAAAAAATTCCAGTAAACCTTAAGAGTTATGAGGTTTATTTTCATGTTTTTGTTGCATCTGCTCTGGGGTTGGCTGCATTCATACTGTAGCTCACGAGTCCTGAAGAACATAAATACAATCTAAATGAATGCAATAATCCTGGAGATGGAGATGTTTCTATTAGAACTAGTGCAAAACTTTTAATACCAAATTTCCATTGAGACTTACTTGTTTTATGATCTCTAAGATGAACTTTCATATGAATATTTTATATGGAGATCAAACTGCAACAAGTGCATGTACAAATGTTTAAATAAAGAATCAGCCTTTTCAGTATATTTGGTCACGGTGACGAGAAGAGGCTCCAGCAGCTGTGAGAGGAGGCCCAGAGCTGACATCCTGATGTGAGTCTGGAGGGGTCATAGAGGGGGGTGAATGGACTTTTTCATCTGAGCCAATCAGGAACAAGTCTGGTCTTGTCCTGTGCTAAATTCACTTGCCAAAGTTAAGGTGTGAAAAATAACGAGCTGTGGCATGGCATGGGTCTGCAAACTGTAGCTCTGGGGCCACTTTGTGGCTTTTAGCATTAGCAAATAATTATAACTACTTAAGCTTTTATGTTAACTTTGTCATTCTGTTATTTGTTTATCAGTCAATCAATCAATCAATCAATCAATCAATCAATCAATCAATCAATCAATCAATCAATCAATCAATCAATCAATCAATCAATCAATCAATCAATCAATCAAAGCTTTATTTCAATCAAAGCTTTATTTATAAAGCGCCTTCCGCAACCCTGTCAGGAAGCCCAAAGCGCTGAACATTGTACAGATGTATGTAAATATATTGAATAAATCAACAATAAAAGAAATTCAAATTACAAAATACAAATTACAAAATACAAAATGGAAATTACAAGATAGAAATCGATCGATCAATCAATCAATCAATCAATCAATCAATCAATCAATCAATCAATCAATCAATCAATCAATCAATCAATCAATCAATCAATCAATCAATCAATCAATCAACCAACCAATCAATCAATCATCAATCAATCAATCAATCAATCAATCAATCAATCAATCAATCAATCAATCAATAATCATCAATCAATCAATCAATCAATCAATCATAGCTTTATTTATGTAGCGCCTTCCGCAGCCCTATCGGGAAGCTCAAGGCGCTGAACATGGTACAAGAGAAAGTTAAATAAATATGGTGAATAAATCGAAAATAAAAGCAATTAAATTACAAATTACAACAAAAGGTAAAACATTCTAGTAGAATACTAATGGGTAAAACAAGGGATAGAGTGAACCAATGAAAACAGGGAAATTAAATCAACATAAAAGAGGGCCAAATTCAAACACATTCAGGAAACGCCAAGCGGAGGAGGTGGGTTTTTAGGCGACTCTTAAAGACTGGCAGAGATGGGGACAGCCTAACTGAGGGTGGCAACTGGTTCCAGAGTGACGGTAGGACTGAGAAAGCCCGGTCCCCACGAGTACAACACCTAGAACGAGGGACAGCGAGCAGGCCTTGGTCAGAGGAGCTCAGAGCGCGTGATGGGTAATGTTTGTTCAGGAGTGTGGCTAGATAGGGCGGACCACCACCCTGGATGAAATTATAAACAAAGACGAGGAGTTTGAAGTGTGAACGAAAACAGACCGGAAGCCAGTGCAGGGAGGCCAGAACTAGAACCAGAACTTTATCATCTCAAATTATTTAATATTTTACACAAAAATATAAAAATGATATAGAAATGAGAAATAAACAAGAAAAATCTTTAGTATATTCCTTTGCCATACAAATAAATACAAATACATGTAATTAATTTGTTACATTTATTTAATTTTATAAAGAAATGTATAATTTTATATTAAACTTAAAGGTTTATTACCTTTACTTAAAGCTTAAACATGCCTTGTGGCTCTTTACCAAACACAACTCTACCGACAGAACTGCTGGTTTCGCGGTTCCAAACACCTTAAGTCGTTTATTTTTTTAAACATCAAACAAAATACGTCTTTTCAGGACTTTCCATCTGATATTTACTATAATTTCTCTTTAGCATCAACATGAAATAGCCCAAATAATTTAAATATGTGGTATAATGATTGATTTAAAAGTTAAACAATGATTTCCATCAGTAAACACAAAGAGTTTGGGATTTTACGAGCTGCTCCTGAAGGCATCACAGTTCCCAAGGAGAAGCCCGCAAAGCGGAAAGGTCGTGAATCCGGGATTCTTCTGTGAATTCCCCTAAAACTGGACAAAGGGACCGATTTGGCTGCACTAACAACAGAGTGGCGTCTGGTTTCATGGTTATCCGGTTACCGAGCAGCGTGCACCGGCTCCGGTGTGTCAAACACCGGTTTAATGAGGTTTCTAACCCGGAGGAGGGACTCCTGCGCGCTGATGTGGTGAAGGATAAAATATCCCAACAGGACTGAGTGAGTAAACTACACTAAGAATCAATCAGAATGTATTTATAGGGTTAAATTAAAACCGATGTGCACCTGCTGATCTACTTATCAGACCAGGTGGTTCAGAGCCAAAACACGCCTGAAGCTCTAAATAAGCATAAATGTTGTGTATACACTTTTTTAATCTACGTAGGTTGGTTTCTTTCTTTTTCATAACCATTTTTAATATTGTTGGTTACATCATACAATTATGAAACTAGAACACATTATTTACTTTTTTTTGTATTTTCTTGTTAGGATAAAGAAAATGATGAAAATCAACAAATATATTATATTTTGTTTGTATCCTTTTAAAAAATATAATTTCTCTACATCAGTTTGCTGTTACATTTCAGCATGATTTTGATTAATGAAACTGATTAGTATACACAATAGCTGTGTGCTCATGAGGTGTTGCTCCTAATGTTTATTATTCAAGCAGTAACATCTAATCCAATAGTTAGGTTGAGTCTACTTTCTGTAGTAGTAGTAGTAGTAGTGTGTGTGTGTATATATAAATATATATATAAGATAGATAGATCGTTTATTAGCCTGGTTAACTGTAGATCCTTTATTAGTTGCATTAAAAACTCAGAATGCTGTTTTTTGCCTGAAGGTGCACAAACCAAATTTAAATACCAAAACGTACACTGAAACTGCTCAGCTTGCTTCAAGTTATGGGAGTAAATTGCAATTAGCAAGCTGGTTTACCTTCACATTTAGGACGTGTCTTCACTTCCTGAACACTGTCCATATCAGAGAATTATGCAAGGTTTTGTTTAATATGGTGATGTGGGGCATGTCTGTGTGTCTCATCTACTAAAGCAGAACGATAGGTAGAATAATACTCCTGACAGGAACATCAACCAGCATGCACAACACCTAGAATAAAGGGAATTATGGAGATATTGTGCAGCCATTGTCACTATTTGACACTGTATACATATTTTCAAGTTCACCAGTAAACTAAATTCTGATAAGCCTAAAACATTAAGTCACATGGTCCTTCAGGCTTTTGTTGAACACATCACCTGCTGCTGCTGAGCTTTAACAGTAAACCTCAGTAAAGTCAGACAGAGAGATTCATGCGCTGATGGGAATGATCTGAGCGATTTAAAATAGAAAATTGCTCCTATTTGTCTTCATTTTCCGATCTGTCTTTGTAAAGCCATTTAGTAAATTAAATAGAACCAGAGTTTATTTATCCCTCTTGTCCTTTGGGAGACTGTGTTGTCTCACAGAAGCTCCTGGGACTCCTTTAGAGCTGCATTTTCCAGGACGACCGGACCCCAGCGATCAGACAGGTGAATCCGCAGCATGACCGGAAATGCCTCTGGGGTGGACGGGGATGTGGGCACACGCTCCAATCAGATAATGTTAATGAACCATGGAAATCTGTTATTTCTGCCCCAGCAGCAGTTCGCTTGTTTTATAGGAATGGGAAAATAAAACAGTATAATGGAATTTCAGGCTCGCTTGTATAAATATTTGATGAGTTACGACTTTTTGCATGTCTATTCCAAGATGGGAATCATATGACTGAGAAACAAGCTGTGCCCCCCGCAGGATGAGATTTACTGAATTTTGAGACATTTTAACGCTTAGCTTGCAAGGTGTTCATTTTGTTCAGAAGCACAAAGGACTCATTAGCAAATCTTAGTCAAGAACTGGATTTTTAAACAAATACCCATAGTGTCTTTTTACCCCTGCAACACATTCAAAAATTTGTTTCTGATGCTCTCGATTTTCTTTTATTCTCAGACAAAAGGTGTAAACTTTTTCAAGGATGTGTGGTTGTCAAGAACGGGCCAAACTTTTGAGTCATGGAATGTTCTGTTGTCCTTGAGCATGTTGTGTCTAACGTCTTGTTTAGTTCAGAGCTTGTGTTTGCACGTGGAATCGGCTGCTTTGTCTGCTTTTTGCCCAACATTTCTGACATTTCTCACCCCAGACCAACGCATATGAAACTACTGATCTCCTGAAGGAACACTTTAGACTTTCTGAGGGGTTCTATGGCCTCTGCTCAGAGAATTTCTGTTTGTCTTTCAGGGTTTATGAGCTACTCCAAAACCTGCCACGCCCAGAGTGTTTCAGAGTTATGTTACAGAGAGATGAGGAGAAGAGGTGCACTGCGGGAGTTCAGATATTAAAGTGACAGTCTGTATTTTTCCTGGCGATAGGGGGCAGTAGGTACCTAAATCGTTGCAAGCAAGCAGTATTTTTGTGTTCAAGTAAGACCTTACCAAGGGAAGCCCATTAGGGTCAAAAAGCCCTGGGGAGTGCAAACATTAGCTAAATAATGAGCACATCAGACTCGCTTTCATCACTGGCAACAAGAAGAGGTAAATGTGTAAAACAAGAACATTTAAGAATGGCAAAAGGTTTGTAACCGTTTGTTACAAATCAGTAAATGCATTTTGTCCTCACGGGCTCCCGTTGAAAGAAACATGTCATCTAATATGGCGTCGCCCAGAGACGTTGGCCCGCCCCCGTGTATTTTAGACCTGATTTTTATGGTTATATGTTACGAAGCCGCCAATATTTTTCAGCAACTGGTTATCATTTTATTCATTTTCAACAACATTTTGATGGATATTTCTAGAAATGAATGGTAAAAACTACACATTGTCTCTTTAAAACATTTAATCCAAAGTTTACAGAACAGTATCCAAAAACCAAAACATAATGTTTTACACATAATTAGGCAAGATGCTGAATGGAAATTAAGTAATTTTTTTCCCCATATTTGATAGATTTTTATGAAACATTGAAAAGATGCAGAAAAATATGGCATCTTTTTCGGAGGGGAATTAGAACTAGATGTAAAAACTTACCATTGAAGTAAGTCATTAGACTGGATTTTTTTAAATTTAAATACAATTTGTTCAAAATTGTTAATACTCCTAAAACTTAGGACAATTTAATTTTTTAAACAGTTGAAATTGAGTGAATCTACCATACATTGGATTAAATCATAAAAGGACACAATTTAGTCAAATGAAAAGGCTGAAATTTGTAAAAACACTGACAAACCAGATTTCTAAAGCCCTTCTTGATGCTGAGACCTGCAGGTGTGTCTCATTTCATAGTGTAATATTTTATTCACTACACTGATATGCTGGCCTCTCTGACCATTTCTGTGTTATTTTCATCTCACCTCATCACACTTCAGTTGCTCTCAAACAAAGGTATCGGAGTGATCACACTGCCTCGGTTTTCATAGAACTTATGAATATGTCAACAAGTCTAACAACCAATTGTGTTCATTCCTTTCTAAATAATGTCAACTGCAAAACTCTTGATGTTCTTGACACCGTTGGCGTTGCACCAGAAAAGGTCAGACGTATCTCTGGCAAACAAAAAGCTCAATGGAGGTTCACTAAATCAGTTACAAATCAGAAAAGGGAATGCAGAAAAGCTGAGCATAAATGGAGAAAAAGTAACATATACCGAGTCACGATAAGAACTTCAGAATGCAGCTTTGTGCTTGACATGTGGGGTTCAATGCTTGGACCTCTCTTTAATCTACATGCTCCTCCTGGGTCAGTCATACGCAATGTAGGAGTTGAAATGTTTAGTGCTTTAAGAGCTTAATATATTACCTTTACTTATGACCAATAAGCTGTGATACTCTATATAAATATAGAGTAACAACCTGCTTGGTCTTTGGAGGTTTAATCAGAAGATTCTAGGATTCTTTGTTTATTCAGGGATTGTAAACACTTCATTTTGATTCAAGGAAAGAGTCAGGTTTATAAAAGTAAGAATTTTTTTTCCAAACAATTAAAACATGACAAGTTAACTAATATTTACTGTGATGGATGGATCTAGGTGGATGTGATGTATGGTGCCTATGTGTGAATATGATGTTATCAGAACTTTCGTATCAAGAAGAGCTGAGTTCTGGGTCCAAAAGGGAAGAATTTGGTTTGCGTTAAGCTATGAGGTTGATTCTTATCAAAAAGGCATCAGACGCTATCTGTGTGTCTACCTCACCCTTTGGAAGACCCTCTTTGTGGATCCGAAGGTCAGAGAGGTCGGATGACCTCTGGCACCAAGGTTGTAGAATACCGTAGCACTGACCCTTCAGTCCAGAGATGTTTTCCAGGTCACAACAGATGGATGGAACCGTGGCGTCTAGACGGACTCTTAAGGAGTCGGAACAATATAAGCTTTGTTCTGCAGGAACCGTTTGCTGTGACAGCGGTAGGCAGATTTTAGCAGGGTTTTGGCAGCTTGCCAGAATTGCTCAAGGTTACAGAGATGTCGCTCCGGACGACCGTTCCGAAGCGCTCTCTAGAACTGCTATACTGAATGATGGGAAGATGGGATGCGACTCCGACTGCTGAATCACCGTAAGTGATTCTGTTTTAATATTCACATATTATGATTTACTTGGCCAATCGGAGCATGGCATGTTAAGAGATATTACCAAGACAACCTCAGAAAACACGCCTTCTTGAGATACCGGATGCTCTGGTCTGGGGTAAAGAAATATCTATGTGTCATGAGTTTAACTTAACTTTAATTTGTCCTTGTGTCTGGTGCAGGTGACGATTGCCTTGTCATATCAAACCTTACTGATTACCATATATAAATCAATGTAATATTTCATTTCAATGATTCAAGCACAGATCAATCAACCTTATTGATTTAAGCACAGATTAATCCAAACATTATTATTATTATTATTATTATTATACGAATGATTAACTCATATGAGCTGAAAACAGCCAATCTTATAACAGTCCAGTCCGGCTTAGATAACCAGGCAGGCTTGGCACAGAAGGGCCTTGAGAAGGGAATGGTTTGTTGACACTTTGTTATCATGTGTTCCGAGCTGCAGAGAGCCCGGGCTGATGGAATAGCAGGATCCGGCAGATTACAGGCACCACATGCAGACTCCTGTCTCCATGTCGACCAGATACTGAAGGGGTCAAACTGTACCTGAAAACTGACCGTTACTGGATATCACAACAATCACAACA